CTCTAGATATGAGCGTGTGCACATTAAAGGGGCGTCGTTTACTGCATATGACCAATCGCAGAGAAGGATAAAATTATAAAACTATGTCTGGTTATGCCGCCGCTAAAACACCCACTACAGCAAAATCAGTGACTCCCATAAATAAAGAGATCAGTGCAGACAGTCTGTGGAACTGTGAGCTCATTGCTCCGCTCTGTCAGGTTGGTTATGTTCGGTAGCTGACAAAGGTTTATCACTGCCTCACAATGAGGATCTATTTCTTTTCCTTGAGATACACATTTTGTCGGTCTATGAAAACCCTTGTCCTCCTTTAACAATCCATGCACCAAGCTCCACGGGATCCTTTCATTACATTTTATTTTATTCTTTTCCTCCACAGGATCTGCTAAGAAGGGTAATGTCATGTTTCAATTGATTGGTCAGTGGGGGGAGCTTTTATAGTGGTCGATATCTCCAACTTAACCTACTCAGGGGCAGGTTAACTGTTCATCATAAGCTACCCTGCTGATTGACCCCGATACAAAGTGAGCAAGCTTCATTGGACCGGAAATCCTGAACTAAATCTAAAATTACCTTGATAACCACAAATCCTGCTTCGTTCACAGCAGGAGATTGGTGAGCGATGCAACAAAGATGATCCTCTGTTGCAGACAGTCTGCTCTGGCCCTTCTTAAACATTGCACTGGCATGATCATCCAGTTTATTGTTCAGGTGAGAGCTCACTAATTCTGTGTCCATTCTCTGGATGTTCACCGGTGTCCACCACCAGTTCTTTAGTTTCCCCCGCATTGATCTGGAGGCCTGCTCTGCTGTTCAAGTCCTATTTCATTATTATAATTATTGTTTTCATTGCTAAAATGCTTATGAAACTTGAATTCTCAAGGAGTGAGGGAGAGCTGGGACAGCTAGGAAGCATGACCAGGCCAGATTAACCTGGAAGAATGATGTGTAACAGTGTGGGGGTGAGGAACAATGCACAGGGACATTTTAACCCATGTGCCTCTTTTTTTATCCGTCAGTACTGAGCTCTGCTTTGATGGGTCAGCCAACATTTGATGCGATGATGTTTTGTCACAGGGAGGAACAGAAAGAGGAAGGGAATGGAATAATCAGTGGGAGGTGGAGACGAGACGATGTGACCAGAAGAAAGGAACAGGTCGGAATTACACGACGCAGAACAGAGAGTGAGAGCATCATGACCCACTGTGGGAAGGGAAGGCAGAAAAGCCCATTTTTCAACAAAAGGATCATCGTTTTCTATTTCTGACAGGAAAGACATAGCCAGGCATTTGCACCTTCCCAGCACCGGCCTTGTCACCAAGCCCCCATGGTTCATCTCTGCCCATAATTAGGAGGTGAGGAGTTTGGGGTGGGTGGATGAGTCAAACACAGGGGGTGCTGTTTGTTTCCTGTGTGAAACCAGCTGTCAGTTTCTTCCTGTATCCATGACTGTTCCATTACATGCATGTTCATTTTGTAACCATGTCAATTAAGGCCCTTTAACCTGAATTAAATAGTGCTACCCACTTTAACCTAAATCCTGATCTTTTACCAAACACAACCAAATAGCTTTTCTGCCTAATACCTGACGCAAGTGTAGCATGCTATTGCTATTTTAACCAGGATTACCAACCTAGCTTGAACATATTTTAATCCACTGCACGGCTGTAAATTTCTTTGTGCTCCTCTTAAAGTCCCTCTCAGGGAACAGTTTTTAAGATTCAAGTTTTAGTAGCTGGAAAAGGCTCCTAAACTGAGTGGGGCCATATATTCATAGATCCCTCTCAGGAAATAAGGAAGGAAGATGTCAAATTATATTTTGCCATTTTAAAGCCACGAGGGGGATTTTAACATGACAAACCTTTAAAATACATAACTTAAGGAACAAAGAAACATTTTAGGGGATGTAAAAAGGGACTGGAGTGGGACAGTAAGTTGAATTACTTTGAGTTTCCTAAGGCTTTCAGTTTAAAGCGGTTGGGCCCTTCTGGTGCTGAGCATGATTATGATAATGGAAAAGTACTGAATCTACATTGTCTTCCTGTCCAATTTTGTTTTCTGTTGCTGTGTGTGTGTGTGTGTGTGTGTGTGTGTGTGTGTGTGTGTGTGTGTGTGTGTGTTGTTGTGTCCTTCGGTGTGTGGAACATATGTTTCCACGTGATAAACACTGTGTGTTCAGACAGGCTGTGACTCAGACTAATGTCTGATGTCCCTAAAACACACCAGTCTGGAACAAATTGATAATGACACCCAAATTATTTTTTGCTCTCTATAGTTCACTAGATTCATTGGCACTTATCAGGAGATGGGCAGATATTTGTCTGCTAATGTGACCCATGAGTTTGGACAAATTACCTAAATCAAATATAATTAACAAGTATGATTACCTGATTTTCACTGCAGCTAATTTTTGCCTTTATTCAAACTGACCTTGTTTAGTTCTGTCAAGAGTGAATCATTGATCATCCCCTTTCATCTGTCTTACTTGTTTGTTTAAAGGGCTCAAGATTTTAACCCAGCACATAATTATGGATCATACATTTCGCCATAGTACGTTCTCAAACATTTGTACAATCATGTGTAGAGTCGTGATAAAGAAGCCATCACTTTAGTCCTTTACACAAAATAACATACATTTGTTAATTGATCAATTACAATAGAAAATGCACACCAGTTACCCACAGTGTAAACAAGTTTTGCAATAGCTTTAACTTGTAACACTTATCATGATTAGGTCTGGTGCAAGCTGTAATGTCTCATATTCTCAACAGGGGCCACTATTGTATCACAGAGCGATAAAGTTGTCAAAGGCAGTCCAGCTCACTCATGCAGTTTCTTGCACTGTAGAATATCTTGGAGCGAGAACTTATGAGCAAAAAAACTTCATCAACAATACCTCGCAGAATATTTAACTATTCTGTCATTTCCTTTAAATCTATCAGTCTTAGTATTAAGGTCACTAAAAAGGATTAATACAAAACTGTGTGTTCCTTTACCTCCTCTGCTTTTTAATGTGTTGCCAGTGGTTTTTGGTGTAAACCTGGTACCTGATAAGAAAAAAAACTTTCTCATCTACTTCTTTGGCTTGAAGCAAATAAGTGCATCTTTCACGAGCTAAAGTAGGGATGGGACGATCAATATAGACATTTCGAAGCTGTGTCGAGATTCTGTGTACATAAACAATCCTTTTCAAATATGTCACATGAGAGGAGATGCGTAAGTACAGACGTAGGGGTCCATTTTCACATTCATCATCACAAAATGCAATATTTGCTGGAAAGACATCACGTGAGAAATTGATGCGTAAACACAGACGTGTTTTTTAGATTACATGTTCGTACATTGTACAGAGGGCTACATTATCGAACAAATACAATGATTATCATACATCTGGCAACACTGCTGGAGAAGACATAAATACACAATGCATACCTGGCTAGCAATATTAAAAAGGCAGCATTAACAACAAGAAACACTTAGTGTCTCAAAGTTCACTGGCCGGTGATATTTCCGGACACAAATTTCCTTTGTGGAAACAATTTGCTCCACAATTTTTATTTCCATCCACTGGAGCAGGGTACACAGACAGGCTCCAGGAGTGGCCATGCCGCATGAATGTGTGTAAATGTGTTCAATGGTGTGAATAAGTTAATAGTACACAGTCATACTCATGCCACTTGCTAACAGAGGCCCTCATATGACTTAGCGAGGGCCATCTGTTGCACCGGTTGCTCTCTGTGTCATTAGCCTGACCTGAGGGCACCATAACCCCAGTGGCTCTTCTGTAGTGGTCAATGTGTGTGTGTGTGTATGATTTGCTCAACCCATAGCGAGTTGCCAAGCAGTCCACTCTACTGGGCTAAAATGATCAGGAACCCCAAACAAAGCCATGTGATCTCTGTGTGTGTGTGTGTGTGTGTGTGTGTGTGCGTGTATAAA